GAAGCTCCACGTACTTCGTCTTCACCGTCTCTAACTCGAACTTCAACGTGTTAATATCCTTCTTGGCCGCAGCCCACCCTTCCTGTTTTCAAAGTAGAGGATTTAGAGAAATGAATTTGTGTGAATTTTGATGAGTGTTTTCTCTTACTTGCCTGAAACGATTGTGGTGTTGCTTCGATCAATGTCTTACGATTTGGGATCATAGGCTGATACGTACCCATGGCTTCTCCTAACGTGGTTGACTCCTTGAGTGATGTGTTGGCTAAGGCATTGCTGATTTTGACTTGCTCCGAGAAGAGAACTTGAACCACAACTCTCAATGGCAACCGCTCGTTCTGAGCCGCGTGCATACATGCGTCCATTGATAGCTTTTGACAGTCCATCACTCGGCATAGCCGTTTCCTCTCGTGCTCAGATAATGTCGGATGCGCCTATCACAACAAATTAAGCCAAAGCAACATGATCAAAAAGCATCACTGCAAAATTCAAAAAAAACAAAAAAAAGACGATGGACCGGATTGTTTTTGCCAACCACATGCAGAACCACGATTTATATTAAGCCATCAAGCAAATTTGATAACAAAAAATCAAAAGATTTTGTCATTCCTCAATTTTTTAGTTAAATCAAATTTCTAACGATTCTGTCATTCAATTATGCAAGACTTGATTCCACAATTTCATAATGTTAATCAGAATATTTGGTAACACTAAGAAATTGAGAGAAAAATTCATAATTTAAAGATGATAAATTATACCTAGTCAGAACCAATTAATTTATTTTGTTTCAGTTTGTATAAAACATATATAATCTTCACACCAAAAAAAAAATGAAATTGAAACAGTAAACTTTATTATCCAAAAAAATAAACAGTTCAAGAAAATAGTTCAACTAAAATAAAAAAAAGTTCACTAAAATGATTTTAATTTTAAAAATCCGACCAAATGACAAAATTATTTTTATGAATATGGACATAATCGAAGATAATATTATAAAATGTGGAATATTCTACGAATTTACCAATAAGACCCTTTAATATATATATATATACCTTGAGATATGAATCAATGGCTCTGTATAGTCCATCGTCACAAGTCCTAGCAGATTCCGGTAATGCCTCCGCCAAAACCTGAAACTTTGTCAACGGCAAATTCCGATCTCTAGCAACTTCAGTGAGATAACTATCCACTAGCCTCGCCACTCTCATCTTCGCATTCTGATTATTACCACCACCACCACCATTGTTGCTATTCCCTCTCGGGATATCGGCGTACATAGACTGCGACGGCGACGGTGACATTCTACTCGGACTCGATCCTTCCGTCTGTTCTTGAACAAGAAAATGTTCCAACAATCTCTGAACAAGATCAACATCGTACATTGTCTCTCCTTTATTGTTATAACCAGGAATCAAAAGATCTTGAAGCGTCGCTTGTTCGAATTGCATCCCTACGCGTTTCTCGAGCTCCGTGATCAACGCCGGAGCTACTTTGAGCATGTTAGCTGCTCTAAGAAGACGGAGGAGGAAGCTACAAGTGACGGAATCTTTCTGTGGAGGGATGATGCTGATTAAGGATTCGACGATCATGCGTTGGTCTTTTGGACTGATCCCGAGTCCGGCGAGACAAGCGACGGAATCTTGATGTCCGTTTGTTTTTCCGGCGGAGAGAACCATGTGAAGACCGCCTTTCCAATCTGGACCGGAGCTTCCTCCGCTGCTGTTGCTTCCGCAGCTTATACTCATTTCGTCTCCTCCTAAACCCAATCCTCCTCCTCCTCCTCCTCCAATGGCGGAGGACATTGCTGGAGCTACTGCAACTCCTCCTTCTTTGATCAAACCCGGAAGCCATTTTCCGGCGTAATGCGTTATTACAGATCCGAGTAGTTCAAATCTCATACCTTTCACCTGTTTCAAAGTTGGAGGAGTGAGAATGTACACCAAGTGTTTGTGAAAATGCTTGAGAGAAAATAATTTATATATGTACCTTGATTGCAGTGATCACACGAACGAAATGATCGATTCTTAAGATAGAGACATCTTCGAACCACCAATCTGGAGGAACAGGCTGGCTATTAGTGTTCCTACTCGGGCTACAATAGAAGCTTGAATCTTTTGATTCGTTCCATCTCGGACTAGAGCTCGCGAAATTTGTGGTTGATGGAGATGGAGCTTTCCCTGTGTAAGCCCATCTAATACCTTTTGGATTACTACAAGCTTTCCAAGCGATAGATTCACTACACCTCCTTACAATCTGAAGATTCTCAGCCCACGGTGAGAGCTTTTCACAGCTCTTTAGGACCAAGATCGAGTCTCTCCATGAAGACAGAACCACATAGCTGAGAAAAGCTTCTGTCTTGAAGATTAGATTCCCTTCCTCAAGATCCTCTGTCATCTCAAGATACTCAGCTGCACAACGCAGACCTGATATGTTAGTTGCCGTGAGATCCACGGGAACTCCATAGCAGAATTTGGATGCAAGCTCAAAAGCTTCTGGTCCTCCAGGTAGATCATCAAGAATAAGGATCGTCGGGTCAGGATCTCGTGACTCGTAGATCAATCTGTTCATCTTCCCGCTACGTGACAGCAACGGATACTGAAGGAAAGAAACAGTTTGAATCCATAAAACTTCTGATAGTTCCAGCTTAAAAATATTGACTCAAGAACATGAAGTTACCTTGTGAAGGTGAAAGTTCATGTCGCCGATTTTAACCAAAAGATCGCTGGGAATATCCGTAGCAACAAACCTAATCAAAAGCGAAGGTTTTTGAAAAGAGTATTAACTTCCCTAACAAGGAAACATGTTGTTTTGCAGAGACTGTAGTGAAAGTGTGAGAATATTACCAAGATTGGCCTCTAAGCTCAAACCCATCAGTCTTGACGCCGCCATGCTTGTTAGAACTCAAAACTCCATCACCATACTCTCTTCCTCCTCCACCTCCAACCCCGCCGTCGCTCTCAGATTCCCACATCATGCACAAATAATTAACACTCTCTGAAGTTGGAAGCAAGAAAGGACCAAGATAAGATATAGAGAGGATGAGAAGATCGAAGTGAAACAAAGAGTTTCCAAGAGAAGAGAGATTGATTAGTTTTGATTATAAAGATGAAAGAGAGAGTGGGAGAGAGAGAAGAGAGAGGGTGATATTATCCCCACATGGGATGCTTCGAGACTTGGAGCTTTCTCTGAATTGTCTATTTTCTCAGAGAGATTTTCAAAACCAAAGTCTCTCATATATCTCACAGCCTGTGAAGTAATGGGCTTAAAAACTCTCTGCTTCTCAATTATCATAATTTTAAAAAATTTAGTAATATAAATTTTGCCCATTCTTATCATATAATTCAATCTGTCTTTTTTTTTTTTTAGATTTTACTAAACATTATTAGATTACTGACATTTGTAATATGTTTTTTAGTGAAGATATGAGTTGGTTAAGTGGGGAAATAATAAAAATATGATTTGGGGAGGGACAAGTTGGAGAGTGAGTGTCATTAACTATGACAAAGCCTCGTTCCTTCTTCTTTGCCTGTCTGTTTTTTGATAATGTTGAATCCTCTCTCTCTCTCTATGTGCATTGCATTTAACTTTCTTTTTGTATCTTTGCTTCCTTTTCCTCTTTGAGGCTTCTCTTATATGGGTCCATTTCCCTAATTTCTCTTCTCAATTTTGCATATACTTTCTCTTACTTTCTTTCATATTATTCCTCTTTCTTTCCCTAATCATAGATGTTTCCAATGTGATTATGTAGTTCTTTACCAATTATAGTTTCAAAAGCACTAACCACCTTAACAATTCTACCGGTTACAAAAGTAGTTCAAGTCATTCACTTATTTCGGTGCTCTAGTAAAGAGATAAAAGATCATATAAACGATATTATCTTCATACTATCAATTTTGACAAGTTATGACATTAGATATTATTTCACGAGATAAACGTATGATGTTGTAGAGATTGTATTCACAATAGTTTTCAATGGTTGTTAGTTGATGACAAAGAAAATAGAAGGAAAAGTTGGAGGAAAATTAAAAGAGAGCATTAAAAACAAAGGTTGGTCATACATACATAAATGGAGATCGAGATAGAAGAAGTGGTCCATAAGAATGTCAGCTATGTACATTAATATACACGATGGTTATATATGTATTAGTCGTAATCTTCTCTTTGCGACTACATATAGACCATGCTTTCTCCAAGTAACTTTGGATTAGAATGGTACTAAATTGCAACAACAACAACAACAAAAAGGTTATGGAATTCTCCAAGTAACTTAGGATTCTATGTAAAGTAATTTTCAAAACCAGTAGTTGTTGATGTGTTAAATCTAACTAGTGTGATTAATACAAAATATTAAATTGTGAATTCATATGGTACAATAAGGATTAGTCAGTTTCGTTTTTGTTTCTGTAATTGGATTAGAATTGATAACACGTTTCTTCTACAACTAATTTTCTTTAGTTATATTTTGTTTTAAAGTGTTTCAGTCACATAGTAGATAGTACTATTGAAACAATTCCATATGATTAATGATTGAATATTGATGGTCATATTCAAGAACCAATCCAATCACCACGTTATAACTCTTACCTCCACATATACAATGTCCATAATAATTATATAATGACCACATCTTGATTGGATTGTTGTTACAAGAGGTAAAAACATATGAACTTAATATGGTTTCTTTTTTCTTTTAAATACACAAAAGTAATAATCATGTGATCTTTTTATGGCTTACGTAAAAAAATTTGCATTATTGATGATGGTCGTGGTGACAAAAGTGCCACGTCGCCTTCAGATGTTAAAAGCTACTTATTAAATTGTCGGTTCAAATCAGACCGGATCTACTCATCCGACGGCTGAGGGAAAACGATATGATAAAAATAAACGGTCAGGATCAACTCAAGGTTACTTCCCTCTCCGTTTTGTTTGGGCTCAGAACGGCCCAAAAGAAAAACAGTAGAAGCGTATTCGAAACCTCTAACTTAACTAGAAGGTTCCAAAGACCAGAAGGGTAAATTGGTAATTACCGATGTTCTAAGTTCTTCTCTCTCGTAGCAAAACCAGAGAGAGTCTCAGTAAAATCCTCCTCAATCGGAGATTAATGTGGCGTTTATGGTTATGCTAGCGAGATCAAAGCTTGCTCTAGATGTGAGCAGAAGATCACATTCTTTGCATAGAATCTCCTATTGCGCGATTAGCTCCTCTGGATTTTGCGGCAGCGGCGGAGATGATGGCGGCGGCTCACCGGATTCATCCAACGAATGGGAGAAGCTTCTTAAACCATTCGATCTCGATTCTCTCAGGAATTCATTTCATAAGATAACTCCTTTTCAGCTCTGTAAGCTACTTGAGTTACCTCTCGATGTTTCTACTTCAATGGAGTTGTTCTCATGGACCGGTTCTCAAAAGGGTTATCGTCACTCCTTCGATGTGTATCAAGTTCTTATAGGTAAGCTTGGTTCGAATGGTGAGTTTAAGACCATTGATAGATTGCTAATGCAGATGAAAGATGAAGGAATCGTTTTTAAAGAATCTCTTTTCATTTCGATTATGAGAGATTACGACAAAGCTGGGTTTCCTGGACAAACTACGAGGTTGATGTTGGAGATGAGGAATGTGTATTCCTGTGAACCCACTTTTAAATCTTACAATGTTGTCTTGGAGATTTTGGTTTCTGGTAATTGTCACAAAGTTGCAGCTAATGTGTTCTACGATATGCTTAGCCGAAAAATCCCTCCAACGCTTTTCACATTTGGTGTTGTGATGAAAGCTCTTTGTGCGGTTAATGAGGTAGATTCGGCTCTGTCTGTGCTTAGGGACATGACGAAACATGGCTGTGTCCCAAACTCTGTCATTTACCAGACTCTTATACACTCGTTATCTAAGTGTAATAGAGTGAACGAAGCGCTTCAACTTTTAGAGGAGATGTTTCTGATGGGATGTGTTCCTGATGCTGAGACGTTCAACGATGTTATCCTTGGTCTCTGTAAGTTTGATCGGATTAACGAAGCTGCTAAAATGGTGAACCGGATGCTTATTAGAGGATTTACTCCTGATGATATAACTTATGGGTATTTGATGAATGGTCTATGTAAGATTGGCCGGGTTGATGCTGCAAAGGATCTTTTTTACAGAATTCCGAAACCGACAAGTGTGATCTTCAACACTCTTATTCACGGGTTTGTGACTCATGGAAGACTTGATGATGCTAAAGCTGTCTTATCAGATATGGTCACGTCTTATGGCATCGTTCCTGATGTCTGCACATATAACTCACTGATCTATGGATATTGGAAGAAGGGTCTTGTAGGTTTAGCTCTGGAAGTTCTTCGCGACATGAGGAATAAGGGATGTAAGCCTAACGTCTACTCTTATACTATTTTAGTTGATGGTTTCTGTAAATTAGGAAAGATAGATGAAGCCTACAATCTTCTGAATGAAATGTCTGCCGATGGACTGAAACCCAACACTGTTGGTTTTAACTGTTTGATATCGGCTTTCTGCAAGGAACACAGAATCCCCGAGGCCGTAGAGATTTTCAGAGAGATGCCGAGAAAAGGCTGTAAACCCGATGTGTATACATTTAATTCGTTGATATCTGGGCTCTGTGAGGTCGACGAAATAAAGCATGCCTTATGGTTACTTAGAGACATGATATCAGAAGGTGTTGTTGCCAATACTGTTACTTACAACACGCTGATCAATGCGTTTCTTAGAAGAGGTGAAATCAAAGAAGCTCGTAAACTAGTAAACGAGATGGTTTTCCAGGGATCCCTGCTCGATGAGATAACCTACAATAGTCTGATAAAAGGGCTGTGCAGGGCTGGGGAGGTAGATAAAGCGAGAAGCTTGTTTGAAAAGATGTTAAGAGACGGGCTTGTACCGAGCAGCATCTCCTGCAACATACTTATAAACGGGCTCTGCAGAAGCGGGATGGTGGAAGAAGCGGTTGAATTTCAGAAAGAGATGGTTCTGAGAGGATCGACACCAGACATTGTGACATTTAACAGTCTGATAAACGGTCTGTGTAGGGCCGGTAGGATCGAAGATGGTTTGACAATGTTTAGGAAGCTTCAGGCTGAAGGAATACCTCCTGATACGGTAACGTATAACACTCTGATGAGTTGGTTGTGCAAAGGAGGTTTTGTTTATGATGCTTGCTTACTTCTGGATGAAGGTATTGAAGATGGTTTTGTTCCAAATGATAGAACTTGGTCAATTTTGTTACAGAGTCTTGTTCCCCAAGAAACACTTGATAGACGAACGTTTTATAATGCAGTTTTCTGAAACTAAATACAATGATAAGAGAATAAAAATGTTTGGTTATTGTGATTATGGAATGTGTTATGTGGATTCACCCAAATTATGATTTTTTCCCTTGAAATTTCAGGTTCCTCAAGACCTCAACTATTCAATTAAACCATCTTATTGGGCTAATTAAGGCCTCAAGGCCCATGTTGGGATGGATATGTCACTGTGATAATGTTGCTGTAAATTCTTCATTTGGTCATTGGGCTAATTTATTTACTAGTACGGCTGAAGGAACATAATCACGTGTGTTTTCTTGAAGTAATTTAGGCAGAAATATTCGGGGGAATAATTTAGGCATGTTATTACCATAGTTTTCTTGAAGTAATTTACACTTTTCAAAAAAAAAAAATTAGTAGTAGTGAATCATGATATTGTTTAACTTGATTAACAAACAATATTGTTCACTAGATGTTAATCCGCAGTACACCGCGGGTCTATATTTTTATTAGAAAAATTTATTAAATTTTGTTTTAAGATACTCTATAGATATATACTATTTTTTTGTTTAATTTAAATGTATAATACACCGTGAGACGAAATTTTATTACAAAAATTGAAATTTTATAGATAGACGTAGTATAAAAACAATAGATTCAATTGTATGATTTTGAATAAGATGCTGATTTAACCCGTCTTATACTGATTTTACCCGCGGTATACCGTATGCTAAATTTTAAATAATAAAATGAGGATTTAATATGTGTTATAGCGATATATTAGTGATATTTTAATTTTATATTAATATCAATCCTAACCAAACTTGTGTCATACAATTCGTCCCGTAATATTTAAAACTATTTTATAAAAACTCAAAAACCATAGCTAAATGGGCAAACAAAAGCCAAAAAATTTAAATATATCAATTAGAAATTTTTGAATTTAATTAGAAAAGATTGCTCCATAATTTTAAATCTTACGTATTTAATGTATTTATGAAGATTTGATATTTGAATTTATTTGAGGACATTACTTATTTTTAGCAATTTCAGAAAAAGACATGGGTTAAAGCTTGAACTGATCCGATAATTAAGGTCTGAATTAATAGTTTTGCACCGGCCTTGTTATTTTATTTGTATTTTCTAATTATTTTATCACTATTCAAACCTTAATGATCCATGTAATTAACACTAACCTATTATTGTTATATAATCACAAATATTAAAAATAATATGTTTAGAACTGCCATGAAAAAAAAATTAAGTATGCAACTTTCATTAGTTCACATAATGAAAAAATAAACACATAGAGTATTAGAACCCAATAACAAAGAATCATGTCTACCAATTTTGTAAAGACCTACAGAGCCCAAATTGTGTTTATTCAACTCTCTCATATACCCAAAATGAAAAACTTAGAAACGGAAAGTTCAAACTCAATCATCGGTGGTTTAGCAGATAAAGTCACCGTCGTTAACGGTCACAGTAACGGCTCCGTCGATCTGAGCCTTGTTTCTTCAAAGCTACAGCAAAACGCATGGATCTACTCTCCGTGTAACGTATCAAGGAGTTCTCGGCGTGTATTTTGAAGCTACCACCGGAAAAGCATATCCGATATCTGAAGATATTCGGTGTGATCAATTCGATGTTGCGTTTCAGGCGGTGGAGCTTTGGATCGCCGATCGTCTTGTTTTGCCAATCGAAACCTAAAGAATTACGATCTCCTCCTCGTCACCATCTTCACATCGTCGGCGAGGTTTAGATCCCGGTTCACCACTGTCTCCTAGCTCTTCCCGGAGTCCGTACAGATTGCATCACGTCTGCGATTTCTCATTTTCTGTAAAACTGGTGAGTTTTATTAGACTAATGAAAGGTATTTATAATGTTTTGAGAATATTATAGGGTTTTGGGTGAGTGAGCTCCTAAAATCTTGCTGATCAAGTAACAATATCTTCAAAATCTTTTATTTTTGGAATTGAGTAATTTTCTTGCAAATCTCGAAAAAAAAAGAAATATAGGAAAGATAATTATGAGTAATTAGTTGGGATGACAGCCAATGGTAGAGATTTTAGAAGGAAAGCGAGAGATTTTTGGCAACAATTTTTGAACGTAACATCTTTGATTTAGGAGAGATTTTTGGAATATGCTTATACCGAAATATATGTGTAATTATCTACATTAATGACGATTTTTTTTAGATTTCCTTAAATGTCTTATCCAAGATCCGGATATAGTAAAACCGAGTAAAACCCGGATCCAAATTATTAAAAGCAAAAACCCCCTGCAAAAATATATATATAGATTGTTATTTTGATTTTAAATTTATTGTAATTTAAATGGGCAATTGCCTATATTTAATTTGTTATTGTAAAAGAAAAATGACATAGCTTATTATTAAAATATTAAACAAATTTATTAACATAATATATATATATATATACTGTTAAAAAAATAAATACGTTATATTGTTAAAATCTGGATATTTATTATGAGCATGAAAACGATTTTCCATTAAAATCGGCTATTTATTAGGGTCATTAATATGAAAGATATTAAGACAACATGGCTTCATTTATTAGTTTGAAATTAAGACAACATCCCTTAAATTGCTAATCCAAGATCTGAATAGACTAAAACCCGGGTCAAACCCGGATCCAAAAGAATTAAAGCAAAAAAGTAATATAAAAATGTATATGTAGATGTAGATCATGATTTTGTTTCGCTTTTCCTTAGTTTGCTTAACTAGTAAAACAAATATATGCATAATTATTCTGACAATTAATTAAGGCATGTTACCTTACTTTTCTTGAACTAAATTACACATTTTGTTATTTTAAGCGGAAAATTGTACTACCGATCACGGTTATTCAGACCATAATAATTTGAATTAATATTTCCATAGAAAGTTATTTAGAAAATCTGATAAATCATATATAAATATCGGATAGATACAAAGCTCATAGAATCAGCCGAAGAAAAAGAAAGAAAAATATTCTAAGATGAAATAAAAAGAAGAGAAAAATAAGGAATGATCATCTCTCTCACAAAACTCATATATATCTAAAATAAATAAATAAATAAAATCCTCCAAATCAAAGAAGCTTCATTCATCGGAACAACCTAGATAACCAAAACGGCAGCGGTTAACATAACCGCCACAGATCCGAAGACAGCGTAACTGTTCGAAACGGCGGCCCCCTGAGCAGGACCAGGAGCTTCAGTAGGCGAATCGGAGATTGCAGACGGAGACAAAGCGGGCGAGTCAGAGGTAGGAGAATCAGCTAGAGGCGGCGATGGAGGTGAAGCAGAGGATTCTGGAGTCAATGCGGCTACCGGAGAAGGAGAAGGAGAAACTTCAGGTGCAGGTGCAGGAGAAGTCGTCTTCTTAGGTGAAGGAGCCGGTGAGATCCGTCTTCCTCCGACGTTAGATGGAGCTGGAGCAGGAGATTGAGCCACCGTAGAAGAAATCAAAAGAGCAGCGAGAAGAACAAACCCTAGAGATTTCGAGAAAGCCATTTTTCAGAAAGAGAGAGATTCGAATTTAGCTTCTTTGTTTTTTAGGGTTTGGGAGTGTTTTTGCTCTGTTGTTGTTGTTGTTGTTAGCAAAAGCTAGGAGATGGTGTTCTTTATATAGAGAGAATAAGTGGGGTGCACCGGTTTAAGGTGTATGATGAATCTCGACCGTTGATATGGAAAAGTAAGGACCGACTTAAATCTAACGGCTGAGATATTATGCTACAGAAGAAAAGCATAAAGGGTGAAAAAGAGAAACGCGGTTGGGCTTAAACCCTTTGACTACGGCGCTAACGGCTCTATGACAGCTGTGAATTATAGAATCAGGACCGTACACGTGTTCTTTTTCTAGACGCGTGATGGATGTTTATGGCCGTTGTGTTGCGATGATTTTTCTTTTTTCCTTCCCCATATATTAAACGGTCGAGTTATTTGGAAGCTACGCGGACACATGGTCCACTCTGTTCCTTCTTTTTATGCTTTTCCTTTTTTGAGTTTTTTTTTAATATGTATCGTGTAATTTAATAATTTTAGATTTACATTAAATTTGAGATTTCTACTAAATAAATACTGTATCCTTTAATAAACAAGACATTAATGCTATTATTTGATTTAACGTAATTTTTTTAGTATCAATCCTAATTTGTGCAAAATAAATATAGTTCAAAAACAAAAAGAATAAAATAATCAGTATCAATCCTCTGCTTTTTCCTTGTATTGTTTGTTGTTCAGAGTTCAAATAGTTTCCAAAGGGACTTGAATTTGAAACTGTCTTGATATATATATATATATATATATATATATAACTAGTATTAGAATGAGATAGTTTTAGTAGTAAGAAAATAGTTTAAATTCTTAAATTTATGGGTTTTCACAATAATAATAAATAAAAACAAACTTTAATTTATGGAAACAATTGATAAAAGCAAAAATATTGCAATGGTAAAATGTAAACCTTTTTTTGTCATTCTCTAAATTTTGATTTTTTTTCTTTTTCTTCATTATTTTCCATTTAGATGGTTTGTTTGTTTATTTATATTTCTTCTTGTTAGTTTAGATCATGCAATCCTATCTAATCATTAATTTTTCTTTCAAAATACAGATCACATTAAGAAAGTCGTGTACTAAACATTAATCTTATATTGATGTAAAAATTAGAAAAGGAGAAAATTAATCTAATAAAATTACATTCCATAAAAAAATCACATTTGTGTGTTGTTCTTTGGTCTTCTTTCTCTCTTGTTCTACTATTTTTATCTTCATCTCATGCTCTTTCTTCTTGTCTTTCTCCTTTCTTTTTCGTCTTAAGCTATTCTTTTAAGTATCAATAATCATTGCATCAATATCTAGATAAAAACATAAGTTAAACTCATAACTATGTGATGCACAAAAAATTCGGAATTTAGCATCAGAAAATCTATTAATGAAGTCATCACTTGTTATGAAAATCATTCGACCAAAAAAAAGAGATTAAAAGAAGAATTGAATACCTTCGTTGAATTTGTCCTAGACTCTACATAAAGCTCTTCGTTTCCGGTATGATAGTGGTAGTCGGCATATGTTGGTATTTCCAATAGAAAATAGAAAAAAATGATCGTAAGATTCCAAATAGTTATTGTATCTGATCATTTTTTTTGGATTAGAGATGTAGTTACCTTTCTTAACGGTCGAGACTTGAGAGGATGAGAAATGCTTTCACTCTAACATATCAAAAAGATAGATTTAAGACATCAAAGCCAGCAAAGATATATTAATATGCAGAAATTCAAAATATTGAGAGTAAACTTGATAAATCAAAGTCAGAACTAATCCTACCTTTCAGGATCTCATTTGCTCTCACCTTCCAGGCCAGTTAGATCAATCTCGCTCCACAGTTTTAGTTATCTCCTCACAAAGATTAATAGATAAAATCGTATGATTCCGTAGCCTTCCTCTTCAACCACTGATTTTTTTCTAAGCACGAAATTAAAGACTAACATGGTTATTTGGTAATTTTTCTTTTTATTAAATAAAAATGGGAAACGGTTATCTTTGCCTAATAAGTGGGAACCACCCATAACAAAGGAGTGGGAACGTGGGTGCAGTTCGTATTTTTAAGTATGTTTAATTGCTCAGAAAATAGGAGTATTTTGTTAAATTCTTTTTAAGGAAATCGTGCTCTTTTTCTTGAGAAAATATCATTTTTTTTTAAAGAATTTGTGTTTGCTGATGTGTCTTATTTTCATTGGTATAGTGACTTGTGATTTATAATATAAAAGATTTTCGAGGAGGACTTTTATGGAGTTTACTATTTTTATGGACTTTTATGGAGTCTACTTTTAAGAGTCAATATGACTAAAAATTGATTAACTAGTCTTCTTAATAATCATGACACTTTTATTATAGTTTAAATGTTAAAAATAAGGTTTTACAAGAAATCAACCAAAGTATGATGACACACTTCAAAGCTGGCCTCTTTGTCACAGCTTCACAAATCAAAAATGCAACTACTCAATCCCAACAACAAGAAGTAATTCAAGAATTGTAGACCAAAAAATATCAGATAAGATTAGATTAGAACATAAACCAATCTAATCAAGTTTCTCAGACGGATCAAAAGTCTTTTTCTTCTTCTTCTTCTTCTGTGTCAATTTCTTTCCTGGTTTTTTCAAGTATTATACCTATATTTCTTTATTCCATTCGGTTCGTCCTGGTTTTCAAACTTAGGACTCAGATTCAGACTCAGTCTTCTCCACAACATCGCCTTTGAACTTCAAGCCATACATGTGACCCATCTTGGTCCGCTTTGTCTCCAGATATCTCTTATTCTCCTTTGTGATAAGACTCAATAGAGGGACTCTCCCAACAATGGCTAATCCGTATCCCTTCAGACCAACATACTTTGCCGGATTATTCGTCATCAGCTTCATTGTCCTCACGCCTAAATCCCTCAGTATCTGGATATTCAAGAAGATAAAAGTAAAATACCCGGAAAAATATTGTTTTCTTTTTTTGGATGGTAATGTGATCTTGGTTAATACCTGTGCACCAATTCCATACTCTCTAGAATCAACAGGAAGTCCTAATTCCTCATTAGCTTCAACCGTGTCTCGACCAGCATCTTGTAGATTGTAAGCTCGAAGCTTGTGTCCTAAACCAATCCCTCTTCCTTCATGTCCACGTAGGTAAACCAGCACACCACGACCAGTAGCCTCTATCTGCTGCATTGCAAGTGCTAGCTGGTTCCCGCAATCGCACCTTGCAGACCCAAATATGTCTCCTGTGAGACATTCAGAATGAACCCTCACAAGAATGTCTTGACCGTCACCAATCTCACCCTACCACAATTTCAGACAAATGGGTTTTGGCTTAAGTCCTCGGATGTTCTGAAGTCAAATCAACAAGAGATGGTTTTAAAGCATTTCTCTAACCTTAACCATTGCTATGTGCTCTATTCCGTCTAGTATGGACCTATAGCAGTAAGCAGTGAAAGGTCCCCACATTGTTGGGATCCGAGCAGCAGAAGAACGTTCCACTAATTTATCTCTCTTTCTTCTATATCTGTCATTTTCAAACCAGAAAGTTTAGCTTTTTCGCTTCGAGAGAAGATACGATAAGAGACACAAGGCCTTGAAATTTAAAGAGCCTACCTGATCAAATCTGCGATGGAAACAATTTTCAGGTTATTCTCAGCGGCAAATTCACGAAGTTTTGGTAATCTAGCCATGGAACCATCATCATCAACAATTTCACAAAGTACTCCAACAGGATCCAGTCCAGCTAAAACAGTAAGATCAACAGATGCTTCAGTGTGTCCAGCCCTTTTCAGAACCCCGCCTTCCCGATACTTCAGCGGGAAGATATGACCTGGACGGTTGAAATCCTCAGGCTTTGAATCTCTTGATGCAAGAGACAATATCGTTGTTGCCCTGTCACGAGCTGATACTCCTGTTGTTGTACCATGTTTTGCATCCTATGAAGGCGAAAATATGAACAAACAAATTAGATAAAAACCACAAGGCCCAAGATCAAATCTTTTTGAGAGAAAAAATACATACCACAGTCACTGTAAATGCAGTAGAGAGCTTTTCTTCGTTTTCCTTCTGATTCACCATTAGAGGAAGGTGCAATCTCTCGAGATCATCTTCTTTCATGCTCACACAAACTATCCCAGTTCCATGTTTCACAATAAAAGCCATAGCTTCAGGTGTTGCCAATTGAGCAGCCATCACCAAATCGCCTTCATTTTCTCTATCTTCATCATCCACAACCACGACAAGCTGCAACATTACCGACAAATCAATCGAGGGAACAAGAAACTAAAAATAGGTGAAAATTTTGATTTTCACAAAAAGCAAAAGAAAAACGAACCTTTCCTTGGCGTATGTCTTCAATGGCCTGAGGGATAGAAGAGAAACCTGGAGTTGGCAAATCCAACTCAAAGTCATCATCTTCAGTAACAAAACCATTGGCTGGTGCAGGAGCTGAATCTGCAGCAAGTGTTCCAAGTGAAACTGAATCAGCCTCTAATGGCTCTTCAGTCCGATCATCAATGAGAAAACCATTTGAGAGAGGAGCGTTTCCGTTGGTGAATGAGAGCAGATCATCTTCTCTAGAGATCACTGCAGCCTTAACTTTTCCAGTAGTTTTAATGGAAAACTTTGATGGATGGTTAGATGGTAAAGTAACACGGTGTAGTCCATGGAGTAATGTAGTAGAGCTTCGGCTTAGTCTGCACAGAATCATCAAATCATTGAAGCTTATTCAAAAACGAGAGAGAAGCTATGAAACTCTCAATGTCATCAATTACAAATTATAAGGTCACTGAAACGCAATTACAAATCCATAGATCAGGATCTAAGCTGAAATTAGAATTGATATCTTCTCGTGTCGATGCAACATCATATTTCCCCCAAAATGAATTAACCAATGAGCAGAAACAATTGGTAAAAATAAGAGATTTGGAAGAAAAAAACTTACCTTGAGCGGGAAAGAGATATGGTGGAAGGAGATGATGAGGATAGATTGATGGAAGACATTTTCTATATCCGTAGACGAAATTAAGAAAAACCCTTGTCACAAAATCGAAAATTTGGGTAGATTTCTAGAGAAGAGAGAGGATGGGTCTTGTTAGTTGCGGATGACGATAGCGATTAGCTAAGCTTTTTTTTTTTAATGGCGGCGCAAATTGGGAAAATGAAGAATTTAAGGATCTCTATGATTCGGTGTGGAGGAGATAAGACACTTACTTGCTTGGCTCTCTTCTCTTCAAAGCCGACTTTTATAGACTTTTCATTTTCATCTTCTTTTTAGTTATACCAAGGAAAGTCTCCTTCTCTAATTAGTTTTTCCTAATTACTGTGTGTTTTTACTTTTTAGATACAAAGAGAATAAATCAAATATGCTACAAACACTGGTCAAAATATTCGTCGGTTAAATCTCTTTCATTAGTAAAGAAACTAGTAATATTGAGATAAAGTTAGTGGTAAATTTTCATATGTCGAGCAAAAGTAAGTTTCTGTCTTTACGTAACAAAATTGTTCGGTTATAGTTTGTATATAAAATTAGTTCAATAGACTTTTATATGTATCAACATATTTATTACATTTTATATATTGTTTTTTACATTGATGTGCAAACTATGCTCCACTTTGCAACAGGGAATCGGAGGATCCCATCATATCCTCTATTATGCAAAGTATGGTATGAAGAAAATGTCAAGAAAAAGTGAAAGGGCTTGGACCATCCGCGATTCCTAATAACAATCCTGCGGGTCATAAGTGATAATTGTGATATAGTATATTTTAAAAGATATTTGAGTGGCAGCCCATTCCCATGACATTGACATACCAACCGCACATTTTTATGTTTTTCCATCCTCGCTTCTTGGTCGGATGACCCATGCAACATTATGTATCCCTCGTTCCATAAAAAATAAAATAGATTTACAGATAACTTTAAGTTTCTTTTTCTTTTTTTTTGGTTTTATACTATATAACTCTATAAGTTTCGTTAGATGATGTAATAGTTTATAAAATGTGGATTATATTTATATATGATGATGGTGACATCTAACAATGGGACGTACGAATAGGATGTGTATTTTTTTTTAAGAGTAGATTCATATAGTGTTTGAGAAGATTAGTACTTCCATGATCCATCGAATTGACATTACATTCTTGACTTGGGGCATTGTGACATGAATCTCTCATTTGGTTTTGCATCAGACTAATCTTCACACTTAGCAATGAGATGTTCTCAAGGTTCCCAAAATAATCTTTTGAAAACAAGCTATCATTTCAAAATTTCAAGATAAACCAATTAATGATCCAAAAATTAATAAGCCACCTGATGATTATGATGATATTGTTTTGATTGCCTCCAAAAAGAAATCGGATTTTGGTGAATCAATGCTTGAAAATTGAACCAAATTAGAAAAAGTGGTTCGGTTCAATTTGACTATGGTTCCGGTTTGTTTGGTCCGGGTGAGAGAAGAAAAAGAAGCGAAGACTTTTTAGATTCTCAGTTTAATTTCACATCCACTCATCATTGCTCTCTCCGGCGACAAAACACAGCCAGCGACTGACGAAAACTAAACACTTCGCCGTCACACTCTCTCTCTATCTAATCTCCGGCGATGGAGAGTTTCGCTCTTCAATCTCTCTCCACCACCGCCACTTCCAACTTACTCTCCCATCATCATCATCATCCCTCACGTCTCTCTCTTCTCCGTCGCACCTCCTCGAGATCTCCGCCTTCAACAATCTCCCTCCGATCTCTCCCCGTTCAACCTCTCTCCTTCCCTCTCCTCAAGCCAATTCCTCGAATCTCCACACGAATCGCCGCCGCACCGCAAGACAACGCTCCTCCTCCTCCTCCTCCCCCATCTCCGTCTCCGTCTCCTCAAGGAGCGAAACTCATTCCTCTAATCCTCTCAATCTCCGTCGGTCTCATCCTCCGATTCGCTGTTCCTGTACCAGAAGGAGTCACGCCACAAGGCTGGCAATTACTCTCCATCTTCCTCTCAACAATCGCTGGTCTCGTCCTTAGTCCTCTCCCAGTCGGAGCTTGGGCTTTCATTGGCCTCACCGCTTCAATCGTCACCAAAACGCTTTCTTTCTCCGCCGCTTTCTCAGCTTTCACAAGCGAGGTTATCTGGTTGATCGTTATCTCTTTCTTCTTCGCTCGTGGATTCGTCAAAACAGGTCTTGGTGATAGAATCGCTACTTACTTTGTGAAATGGCTTGGGAAGAGTACTTTAGGTCTTTCTTATGGGCTCACGCTTAGTGAGGCTTTGATTGCTCCTGCAATGCCTAGTACCACTGCTAGAGCTGGTGGCATTTTCTTGCCCATCATCAAGTCTCTCTCGCTATCTGCTGGAAGTAAACCGGGTGATTCTTCTTCTAGGAAATTAGGGTCTTACTTGATCCAATCTCAATTTCAGGTTACTTCTTTGTTTTATGTCCTTTGATTCATAATTTGGCTTATCACTTTTTGTGTCGGGAATTGGATCCGTTGGCTCCAATGATTAGGTAGTAGTGCGTGTAGTGTGATGCTGAGAAACAAAGTTTGCTCTTTGGTTCAATTAGTGTCTTACTCTGGGGGCTGCTTTCTAGTTTAGATGAAAGTTTCTTTCTTGTTGTTAGTATTTGACTTTGAGAGACTTTTGAAGTTTTCGACTTTTGTTCTGCTTCTCTAATTCTGTTCTGATCTTTGGCAGTGCGCCGGAAACTCTAGTGCTCTTTTCTTGACTGCTGCAGCTCAAAATTTGCTGTGTCTCAAGTTAGCTGAGGAGCTTGGAGTAGTGATCTCAAACCCTTGGGTTTCTTGGTTTAAGGCTGCTAGTCTACCTGCAATCATATCACTTCTTTGTACTCCATTTATCCTCTATAAGCTTTATCCTCCAGAAACCAAAGACACACCGGATGCTCCAGGTATTGCTGCAACGAAACTCAAGCAAATGGGCCCTGTCACCAAAAACGAATGGATCATGGTTGGTACAATGCTTCTTGCTGTCACTCTTTGGATCTGCGGGTATGTCTTAGATCACTTTCATGTTTTGTATCATAGCGTTGGTTAGAATCTGAGTATTCCATGGGTTAATATTATATGCAGAGAGACTCTGGGAATACCAAGTGTTGTAGCTGCCATGATCGGTCTCTCCATACTTCTTCTCCTTGGTGTCCTCAATTGGGACGATTGCCTAAGCGAAAAATCGGCATGGGACACATTAGCTTGGTTTGCTGTCTTGGTGGGAATGGCAGGACAGCTCACAAACCTCGGTGTTGTAACATGGATGTCTGATTGTGTAGCCAAAGTTCTCCAATCTCTCTCCTTGGGTTGGCCTGCTGCGTTTGGACTTCTTCAAGCAGCATACTTCTTCATTCACTACCTTTTCGCAAGCCAAACCGGTCACGTTGGAGCGCTTTTCTCAGCTTTCCTTGCTATGCATATAGCAGCAGGTGTTCCGGGCATACTAGGTGCACTTGCTTTAGCTTACAACACCAATCTTTTTGGTGCTTTGACTCACTACAGTAGCGGTCAAGCCGCTGTCTACTATGGAGGTATTCCCATTGATGAACAGAACATAGCTCTCTCTTTCTAGTTAAGTCTCTTAACTGCGTTTGCTTCTATTTTTTTTTGCAGCGGGTTATGTTGATCTGCCTGATGTATTCAAGATTGGATTCGTGATGGCGACGATTAATGCGATAATCTGGGGAGTAGTTGGAACTTTCTGGTGGAAATTTTTGGGTCTCTATTAAGAGCTCCTCGGAAGAAAGTTGTTCTTGAAGAAGCTTTGCAAAGTCCGGTACAATTCTTTGTTGATCATTCGGTTTTGAGGCTTCATTTTTTTCTACTTGCAATTAGAGAATCAGACAATTCTTTGTCAAATAGATATACAGAGATCTATCTCGATTTGTTCTCTTATGAAATATCGCATTTCTTTTTCGGAGAAAAGAGTAAGATACAAAGATGAAAATTTGTCGTCCAGATGAAAATTTGTTTTGGGGGCGTTTTTGTTAAAACGAAAATGTCTGGGTAATAAAAAACAGAGAAAGTAGTGATAAAAAGGAGTGAATCTCCAAATTATCTATAATATAAGGATCGAGTTTCAAATTCCGAGAGCAAAGAACATGAAGCTAACTTACAATAACTCAAAATAAGTTAGCGCCACAAGCATCACTCTCATTATTTGTCCTTTGATGATATGATGTTTTGTATGGTACAATCCCCACCATAATGTGTATAGAAAATGTATATCACATGTCGAAAAACACGAGAAATAACTTGGCGTTACAAGGGAAATCCTACCCAAAAAAAATCAAAAATAAGTCAGCTTATTTGACAATTTGAAATAAATTTAGGATAAATATCGTAATAACGACTAGGATTCTTGTCACTTACTCTTAATACATTGATAGAAAAGAAAGAAAAAGAAACATATTTGGATATATGGTATATCATTTTCACCATCATTATGTTGATTAATGATTATGACCAGACAACCAGTAGCATCATTATCAACATTTATGATCATATATTCATATTCACTACTCAAACTACTGAGAAACCAACAAGTCTTCAAACAAATCATGAAAATCAAGAGAGTTTTCATAGTAAACGATCATGAGTTTTTACTTGATTAGGTAAATAATTCTGAATTTTTTAATATTAAGTAGATATCTTTAAATAGGTTTTGCGAGATTGTATTTATACTTTCAAGTTTTCAACTATAACATAATTTGGTAATTTCGTTATATATGGTCATACAAAATACAAATAATTTAATAAAAATGTAAAAAAATTTAAATACTTCTTGAGTACAGTTTGTCACTTGGTTGTTTTATCTAAATAATTTAAAAGTTGTAGCTACAGAATCAAAATATGATTCTCTGACTTGGACAACCACGAATCACGATCCAGCTACACCATTTATCTGCAAATCCCAACATTCTCACGAGCTCTACAAGAAAACTCCATTCAACTCTATCAAATGCTTTGGTTATATCGAGTTTAAGCACCATGAAAAGTATATTTCCGCTTACTGAGTATACATTGAACGTAAAAGATCGTGAGCAATTTGATTTTCAGATATAATGCAATGAAGCATAGGCTTATATGCAACATTACATAAGTTTATTGGCCTATATAATCTTTGACTCCAGAGGGAAGATTCATTTTGTGGGAATAAGACAGATATGAGTGTGGTTAAGAGCTGGATCTAGATCTCCATAATAATAACGTTTTAATTATCTTTATAAAAGGCTTATCACAGAAAAATATCAAACAGAAACCAAAAAAAAAAAACAAATCAATTTCCCTCCTCCGGTGAGAAACTTGAGAACACACTCTCTCTCCCGGCGATGGAGAGTTTGGCTCTCCGTTCGCTCTCACTCTCCACTTCTTCATCAGCCTCCTATCTCTCTCTCCGCCGATCTTCCTCCAAATCATTCTCTTTACTTCCACCGTTGATTTCCGTACACTCACCCCCAACACTCCGATCACTCTCCATCTCCTCCCCTCGATTCACTCTACGCGCCACCGCCTCTTCCTCGCCGGAGAAACCTCAATCCCTTCCTTCTCCTTCTCCGCCGCAGCCGCAAGGAGCAAAGCTAATTCCTCTCACAATCTCCATCTCAATCGGCCTCATCGTCAGATTCTTAATCCCAAGACCAGAACAAGTAACCTCACAAGGATGGCAATTACTCTCAATCTTCCTCTTCACGATCTCAGGTCTCGTCCTTGGTCCTCTTCCCGTAGGCGCTTGGGCTTTCATTGGCTTAACCGCTTCTATCGTCACCAAAACGCTTCCTTTCTCAACCGCTTTCGCCGCTTTTACCAATGAGCTCATTTGGCTAATCGCTATTTCTTTCTTCTTCGCTCGTGGTTTCATTAAAACTGGTCTTGGCGATAGAATCGCTACTTATTTCGTGAAATGGCTTGGGAAAAGCACTCTTGGTCTGTCTTATGGTCTTGCGTTCTGTGAAACGCTTATGGGTTTGATAATGCCGTCTACAATGGCTAGAGCCGGTGGCGTTTTCTTGCCGGTGATTAAATCTTTGGCTCTTTCCGCCGGAAGTTATCCCGGAGACCCATCTTCCAGTAAATTGGGTTCTTTTCTGATACAAACCCAATTGCAGGTCAAAATTCAAGATTCGATTGTTTGATAAAATCTGTTGCATACAACAATTTACCATCCAGAAAATAACATAAACTATGTATCTTCATTAAGCATAAAATGTTTTGTGTATTGATGACTTTAGTTTTAAGGGTTTATGTTTTGTCTGTGACAGTGTTCAGGAGCTTCTGGTGCGATTCTACTCACATCAGCGGCACAAAACTTGCTATGTCTCAAACTAGCCAGAGAAGTTGGTGTTGTAATCTCGAATCCATGGATCACTTGGTTTAAAGTTGCGAGTGTTCCTGCGTTTGTGTCTCTTCTTTGTACTCCTCTCATTATCTACAAGCTTTACCCTCCTGACCTGAAACACACACCAGAAGCTCCGGCTGCAGCTGCTAAGAAGCTCGAGCGATTAGGTCCCATCACGAAAAACGAATGGATCATGCTCGGCGCCATGGCTTTCACTGTCTCTCTTTGGGTTTTCGGGTAAGGTTTCTTGCTAAATTTGAACAAAAACCATTGGTATCATTTTAGAGAAATAGCATAAAACTATTTACATAGTGTCTAAAAACTAGACGGATCGATACAATCAGTCTATAACTACATAGACTCACTAAAAAGTATTCAAAAACTACACAAACTCATACAAATTATTAAGAACGTTAACCATATTAAGACCTATTTTTCCGTATCTCCTTGCAGAGAGGCAATAGGAATAGCAAGTGTTGTGTCCGCGATGATAGGTCTGTCAACGCTTCTGCTGTTAGGAGTCATAAACTGGGACGATTGTCTCAGTGACAAATCAGCTTGGGACTCGCTCACTTGGTTTGCGGTTTTAATTGGTATGGCTGGACAGCTAACAAACCTCGGTGTTGTTGCTTGGATGTCGGATTGTGTAGCCAAATTGCTACAATCTCTCTCCCTGACTTGGCCCGCATCATTCATTATTCTCCAGGCTTGTTATCTCTTGATCCATTATCTATTTGCAAGCCAAACCGCTCACGCGGGAGCTCTCTATCCCCCTTTCTTGGCGATGCAAATCGCTGCTGGAGTGCCGGGGGTTCTAGCAGCGCTTTGCTTGGCTTTCAACAACAATCTCTCGGGTGCTTTGTCACATTATAGTGGGGGACCAGCTGCTTTATATTACGGAGGTCCGTTTTCTTCTCTTTCTAAGTTTTTTATCTTATATCTCATATCATTGGTCATCGAATTAATCGACCATTCAAACACTTTTTCTTACAATTTTTTTCTTGGTCTGGATCTGCAGCTGGGTATGTAGATCTGAGAGATATGTTTAGAGTCGGGTTCGTGATGGCTCTTGTACAAGCGATCATCTGGGGAGGTGTTGGATCTTTCTGGTGGAAATTTTTGGGTCTCTACTGAAAATATAGAAGTACCGAAACCAGTCCCTGAGCATTTGACCCGCAACCAAACCAATACAAACACAAATCCATAATCTCGGTTTTAAGGGTATCGACTCAAAAGTGTCTGGTAATCGATCTGATTCGGGTTCACACAGCCACATACCAATTGGTGTGTGTTAGTATATTAAGGATGTACACCGTAGAAGTTAGAACAATATATATCCTGTTTTCCTTCGTCAGCGTTTAAGTTCAGCCTGAACCGAGAAATAAACCACACAATTAAATCGGTCCAAATTCAGTAAACATCTCAACTGAGGAAACCAAATTTCTGAGCAAACTGACACAAAATTCTAATGGCTGGGGCCTAATATCTTCCTGAGTCTCGCAATAGGAAAGATCTAAAGGCTCTCTGCTTATTTCGAGTCTTGAAGATTTCTACGTTATTTCCTGAACCTGCAGCTGTAATGCATGGCAAATAACATGAAACTAAAGTCAATAAGAAATACCAAAAAGTGCACACGTTTTGTAATTTCCAGAAAAAGAAAAGAACCGCTTCCGTGTTCGAGAGTTTTATACAAAGCAAACCTTTGCAATAAAGCCAATACCAAAAACTACAGGAGACTAGAGAGTAATAGAGTCACATCACAGGAGACTAGAGAGTAATAGAGTCACATCGAATCCAATCTTTCTTTCACACAAACATCGTCAACTCTGGTCGGCTATACACATTGTTCTGCTCATCTTCAAGAACCGGGTAAGCAGCAACAAGCGTGTCCTGAGCACCAATGTATAGAGAATTGTATATCTTCCAGTACACTTCGCGGACCTTGCGCGCCGGATGAAACAAACCCTGCAAACAATAGTTCAGAATTACAGCTGCACCTAATGCGACTCGCATTCCTTCAATGGCTTCCATCACCGCGTTAATGACGTGAGGAGATGTCTCGAAAATGTTGGGCCAAATGAAGTTAAGCAAGTGAACCAAAGCGTCTTCGCATCCCAACCCAGCTACACCTAGAGCCATATGTTTCACGGCTGAAGCTGCGGTTTGTCTGTGAACCAAATCTCTGTCCATGAGCGCGTCTTCAAGCAACGGTGTGACTGCGTATATGTAATCTTTGCCCATTTCTCCAATGTACTCAAAGAGGAAGGAAAGAGATTTCAAAACACCGTTTTGGACGTTTAGCTCTGGAACACGGTACTCATTCATCAAAGCAGGTAATACGGTGAAGGGAGAGCATGTTTCAGCGACAATAGCGATTGCGACTGTGGTGCAAACACGGTTCTGACGTTCTTGGACTTTGAGATTGTTCAGCAACGTGGCAAGAACATCCTGTGGTCCAATGGCTTTGGCGATGTACCCGAAAGTGTTGACTGTAGCACGACGAATACCTTTCTTATGAGCCTTAAGCATTTCAAGAAGCTCAAAACAGATTCTCATCCATTCTCTTGCTGGAACAAACTCGGCACCACGATCAGCAATCCTACCGACAAGATCAATGCAATTCTCTTGCACTTTCTCGTGCCTGTTCTTCAAAATAGGGGTCAGCCTTGGAAGCAGATCCTTAATAGGAGGAGTCATCTTCGTCATACCAATCACATTGACTATAGCTTTTAAAGCTCCAAGAATTGATCCCAAGACTTCTGGGTACTCTTCTCCAAGATATTCATACAAAACAACACCAAGATGTCCCATCAACTGTTCCTCTCCGCATTGCTTCATAACAACCGCAATTCTAGAAATCAGATCAGCAGCTTGTTGTCTTACCTTAGCACTCTTGTTATTCAAACGCCACTTGATGGTACCACAGATCTGGGGAAGATAAGGCTTTACTCTCTGACCAAGAGCATTCACTACAGCACCGAATCCATTAAGCATTACATTAGCATCGTCACTAGTCTGTTCTTGAAAAGCATAAAGAATGCCATCTATGAGCAGTTCCTCCAATCTCGCATCAATATCAGATGCTCCCAAGTTTGTGACAACCTTATCAATGGTTTCCATAACCATACGTCGATACGGTTCACTCTCATCCTTGAGATCTTCAACAACTCTTCCCACAATATCTGCAACACCAACCTTGTTCGCAATCTCCACAGTAGTTTCAACAAGCTGCTTATAGTTTCTCCTCTCCAGAGCCATTTTCCTAACCCAGAAATGCTTGAAAAACTCAGGCAGAATATCACTGCGTATGTATTCCGGTTCAACACCCTCTGTACTTACACACTGTTTCACCACCTTGAGGACGATCTTCTTCATCTCTTCATCAGGCGACTGGAACTCACGAATCAAGATAACCATGACTTCTTTTGTATAGTAGCTCGCATATATAGCATCCATCAAGGGGATGATAAAACCGATCGCCTTCAAGAAAGCAGCTAAAACTTTACCACGGTGCGACCTAATACCTTTCCACAAAGGCTTCAGAACAGAATCAAAGCTCTCAATACCATATGGAGCAGCAGCTTCAGCAAGAGCAGCCAGTGACAAAGCGGTAATAGTCCTAACCTTCTGGTTTTCATCACTGAGACCATGTTCGATAATCTCTACTAAAGACCTTAAGTGAGGCAGGACGGCACAACCAATTAGTATCGCAATCTGCTGAACAATCTTAATTCCAGTGTGCCGTGCCTGCCATGACTTTTTACTCTGGCACACAGCTTTTAGGAAAGGTAAGAGTGCAGGGATTCCAAGAGCTGAAGCCACCACACTGAAAGCTCTCGCTGTTGTGTTCCTCACATATTCATCAATGTTGTCAATATCAGGACGCATAGCTGCAATCATAGTGGCCAAACCAGCTGCTTTGCTAAGGTTAGAAATAATTTCTCTCCCTTCTACACGAGCATAATAATCCTCATCAATCAACAAAGGCTCAATAACAACAAGGATTTTGTGGACGTAAGGCCTTACCAGCTCATCAAGTTTGTACAGAATCCTATCAATCACTTTGACCAAAAGATGCCTCTCTTGATCTTCCAAAGTGGGTTGCATGAGCAATGGCAAAATTTTATTGAACAAAGGACCAGCACCAAGCTCACGAGCCTTATCAGTAAGCTGCCTCAGGGCTGTTTTCCTCTGGGCAGGAGTTCCATTTTTAACCTTTAACAATAGTTTCATGATCTTGCGTTCTTTCTGCTCGTCAGGAGACAGCTCTTCTTCGTTCTCTTCATTCAACAGAGCTCCAAAATACTGATAATCCTCTGGTTTCATAAACGGCAAACCACCAGGAACTTCTGGGGGCACATCATACTGTTGCCCACGGTTTTCCTCGGGAATAACATAGCCAGGAGTTGCCATGGGTGTCGGGGTTTGTTGAAGTTTCCTCGCAGGGGTTCTGATGGGAACATATGAAGCAGGCGGATCCAAAACCTTGTATCCATCTTTAGGAAACATGGCATCAAGCTCTTCATCACTCAATGGTCTGTTTCTCTCCTCGATATCCTTCTCCCACCTTTGCATATTGAGCTGCTCGGGGGTCATAGCACCACGGAAAATAAGCTGACCCGGAGTCGGAGTAGCCATATCAATCCCACCAATAGGGGTAACACCAGGAGTGTAAGCTGCACCAGGAGTGACTCCACCCATAGGTGTAGCACTCCCCATAGTGGCTGGTGTTTCGTCCCACCTTGAACGTTGACGCTTTGGGGTAGGGGTGGCAAGCCCTCTTGGCGTCCCGTCCCAAGTAACACCTGAAGGAGTTGCACCGGGAGTAACACCACCAGGTGTTGCATCAGAATCAGTCACACGACCAGGTGTAGGAGTTTCGTCCCACCTGTTTCTTCGTCCAGCAGAAGGGGTGGCATCAGAAACTCTCCCTGGAGTTGGAGCATCCCATCGTCCAATCCCTGGAGCTGCATCAGGTAAATCCCAATCTGAACTTGCTGCTTTAGCTTTCTTTGCAGCACCACCGTCTTCTTCAGGGAGATCCCACCTGTGTCTCCTCTTGGAAGAAGAAGGAACAGGAGGAGGAGGAGCAGAATCCTTCTGATGCTTTGCAGCTTCTTCTTCCTCTTTCTTCTTCTTAGCAATGAGCCTCATAGTTTCCTCTTTCTCCCTCTGCAGAGCCGTCTCCCTCATATGGTCCGTGTAAGTCCGAACACTCGCATCCGGGGTCTTGTCGCCCATAGCAAAGGCATCAACTCTATCCGGAGAAAGAACCCGATTGAGTCTCCTATTCCTATACTCACCCTCACGTTCCGCAATAGTCTGCCTAGGTTTAAATCCCACATCGTCATCTTCGTTGTGAGGACGAGCCACGTCGTTAAGAAGCGACCTAGGAGCAGTGTAAGACGCGAGCCGCTGAGCAACAAGAGAACCAGTGGTGTCCAGATTCGTATCCTCCTCATCGTTAGGAGCAATAGAAGTCACGTAGGAATCACGGTCGTTACCTCCGTAAAGATCGCGATCCATATTGATAGAAGTGAGAGAAGCAAGGTCTGCTTCCATCTTCCGTCTTTCCTCTTGAGTTTTAGCGATCTCTGGATCTAGATCCGCCATTATCGATACTCAACGAAGCTTTCTCCAACAAAAAAGAAAGAACTGAGAAATTGAACAAAACACTGAATCAGAAGAAAACAAAACGAAATTGGAAACAATCGAATCAAACAAATACGAGAGTATAGAATCGTATATCAAAACGAAGATTGGAGATGAACTCACCGGTAATCGGAAATCGTCTGCGGGTGATCGTGGGAAAGTAGAGCGCGAGAGAAAGAAGAACTAGGGTTTATCCAGATTAAGCCAGAACAAAAAAAAAAAAAGAATATAAGAGTTGGAGATGATGTTAATGAAACCGACCAATTGAGGGAGTCGGTTCTTTATCTTCGGGTCAAGTTGTTATTTGGGCTAATAAACTTTATAAATTGGGTTCAAGTTAACAAAGCCCATAGGCCCAATAAAAACCCCACTACTACGTCTGTTCTATATCTTTTGTTTCTTGATAACTACTGAACTTCGTCGCCAAATAATAAAATAAAAACTTGAGAACTTGATCAGATAATTAGAAGTTTAGAACTATAAGGTATAACTTATAAGTAGGTTTGAAAGCTGTATAACTTTATTGCTGCAAAACTCCTTTATTTTGCCCAAACTTGAAGTTGAATAGAAAGGCTTTCTTTCACTCCCAAAGCAAACAAAAATCCTTTGATAGTTTTTATGTTGAATTCAATCATGTAGGTAAACCAATTTTCGGTAATTAATTTTAAAAATATATGAATAAGTACTTTTTCCTAAATTCATAGAGCAACATGAACTATTTCAAGTATTTTAAAATTCGTGATAAAAAGAAATTTTCATTTGGATTTTCAAGTAATTCTAAGTTTAGTTTTTTTTTTTTTGCGAATGAAAAATTATATTCCATAAGAATTTGGATTTTTTTTTTTTTTTTTTTTTTTGCCCACACAGCTGTGGTCCAGTGGTAGTTGAGAATTGGGAAAATGTTGGAAGGAACTAATCCAGGTTCGATCCACGCTGAAAACAAAAAAAACACATTTGTGTGGGAAGTCTGGGCTTGGACTAAAAGGTCCAAGCTGTTTACCTGGTATTCCAGTAACAGGCGATCTGGCTACCCCTGACATTAGTCGGAAAGCATTCCAAACTCGGGACAGACCAGATCAACCGATAGGGTTTATCATAAAAAAAAAAAAAAAAATTTGGATTTTTAAAATTTACACAAAAATATCCTTGTAAAAAATGTATGCTTTCATAAATTTCCTAATAATTAATACACAGCCACAAATCTTATTTAAAATCTATTATGTGTCGTAACCCTAAAAATATAACAAAATGTCTTTTATTTAGCATTATCCTCAATTCCTCACTAGCTTATTTATTTTAACTTATAGCCGAAAGTCTAGATCCACTACAACTTAGAGCATCTCCATTCCAACTCTATTTTTTCCTCTAAATTCTAATATAGAGCAAAATTCTTTCCAACCCTACTCTATATTCTACTCTAAAATAGAGCAAAAGTGAATATTGCTCTATATATAGAGCAACTCTATAATTTTCCTCTATCTTTTACACTACCTCTATTTTAGAGTAAGGAATAGAGTAATACATTAGAGAGAATTCTACTCTATTATAAAGTTACTCTATTTTAGAGCAAAAATATAGAGTTTTACATTAGAGATGATCTTAATCAGGTTTATAATACAGAATGAATGATAAATTATGTCATGATCAAAATCAGTATATATGAGCTACTGATAAATAAAATAAAAAGCATATAAATGATTGTTTAAATCTAGATGAGCCTTTTCGATACTTAAACGTTTCAAAGTTCCTTTGGCATAAAGAACGGAGGCAAGGGAGAAAAACTTCACCAACCCCACTGACCATTTTCAGAAAATACTTAATGCCTAAATTACTGAAATTTGTAGGACTTTCGATGATTAATTCACTAAATTACTTTTTCACATGACAATAAAAAAATTTACGCCCGTTTTGATGTATTTTATTTTTTTTAAAAAATCGGAAGTTTCCAAATTTGAATGTTTAGTTTTATCTTCTTTTTTTTTTGTCATCTGATTTTATTTATAAAACTCGAAGGATACATTTTGAGATTACATAAGCCGGCGGAAAAACTGAATATCCCCGGAAACGAAAGCCCAAAAAAGGAAAACTTAAGCCGGCGGACGACATAAATGTCCCCGGAGTCATGGCCGGAGGAAAAAAAAGATTTCCCCGGAACCAAAGCCCTATGAAAGGGAAACTAGAAACACTAAGAACAAAGAGCAGAAAAACTCGAAACCCAATCGAAAGAGGACGAACCCTTACACTAACAACAAAAGCAACAAGGCTAATACCAACAATATACATTAGACTTAAGAAGCAAGGAGACCTCTTTCTCTGATGCACATGCGAATG